AGGAGAGAAGATGTGGAGGTGAGAAGATGTGAGAGAAGGTGTGAAGATGAGCAGACGTGAAGATGAGCAGATGTGAGAGAAGATGTGAAGATGAGCAGATGTGAGAGAAGATGTGAGAGAATATGTGAGAGAAGATGTGAAGATGAGCAGATGTGAGAGAAGATGTTAGATGTGAGAGAAGGTGTGAAGATGAGCAGATGTGAGAGAAGATGTGAAGATGAGCAGATGTGAGAGAAGATGTGAAGATGAGCAGATGTGAGAGAAGATGTTAGAGAAAATGTGAAAGAAGATGTGAGAGAAGATATGAAGAAAGATGAGCAGATGAGAGAAGATGTGAGAGAAGATGTGAGAGAATATATGAAGAAAGATGAGCAGATGAGAGAAGATGTGAGAGAAGATGTGAGAGAAGATATGAAGATGAGCAGATGTGAAGATGAGCAGATGTGAGAGAAGATGTGAAGATGAGCTGATGTGAAGATGAGCAGATGTGAAGATGAGTAGATGTGAAGATGAGAAGGTGTGAAGATGAGAAGGTGAGATACAGACCCCCACTATTGGAAGAACCCTGCGCTCAGACGCTCTCGGGAAAAATAATCCTAGCAGCAATTGCAGGCAAGACACCGGTGGTGCCTCACTTCAGCCTAAATTGAACAAAGATTGAATTCCACCCCAGTAATCCTACAAGATTCTGTGAACCATATATTGGGATTCAAAAGTAATCCTAGGAAACGCACTTAAAGTAATCTTATTTCCCCAAGATCAAGAAACAAAGCATTGGAAACATTGAGGCCAAGGTTGTGTGCAGCAAGGGCATTCACCCCTTATCAGCCTCCCCTCTGCATTTTTATGCAGCCCGTGGTAGTCTAAAAAAATGGTTCTACCCCTGCCCTTGCAGGAACCTTCATGGTGTTGTTCCACCATGCTTTTGAGCCGAGAAATTCTGCTTCTTTTTGCTGGGGGCAACACAGAGTTTTTGGCAAGTGGCAGCTCGGTGAGTTAACCAATGCCCATTCAACTGGTTACAATAGTAAGCCACCTGGTTCCAAGTGCAATGGTAGTGGATGTACAAACTGGTCATGTCGCACCCTCCACCATGCACATGGATCCCTTCCGCTGCACCCATTGAGAAACATCCCACCAAGTCCAACCCAGTGGGACATTCCTCAAATACAGCCTACCATGGCACATTTCATCACGCCCTGAAGACATCCTAACTACAAATGCGAAAGTGTTTGTGTTTGGTATGGATGTGTTTCTTACTGCTTGCTGCTGTTTCAAGAAGGTTCTTGTGCTGTTTTGTGCGTGTCCTTGTGCTGGTTGGTTCTTGTTTGTACTTACTATTTGAATCTTGGCGAAAAGGCAAGGATTCCCTATCCCTTCTTTATGCCTGCTGCTGTTTCAAGAAGATTCTTGTGCTGGTTTGTGTTTGTGCTTGAGCTGGTTTGTTCTCGTTTGTACTTGCTATTTCAATCCTAGTGAAAAAGGGTTTGTATTCTGGGTCCTGTGATCACATGTTGTCCCATGACAAAAAGTAATCCTAAAAGCAATCCTGAAAACAACAAAAGTAATCCTAAAACAACAAAAAATCCCAAAAACTCATTGGAAAAAAGTAATCCTACAAGTGACCAAAAAATCCTAGACAGCAAAACCACACGGCACTGCAAATTCCAATAGAAGTGACCAAAAAAACAATCCTAGACAGCAAAACCACATTGCACTGCAAGTTCCAAAAGTAATCCTAAAGCACTGGAAAGCAACTGACACTTTTGTATATCCAACCCACCGGAAGACTCTGCCAAAGTTTCTTATTGTTCCTTCATCAAACCATTGTTGATGGCACCTCTCACCTTGGCAGCAGCCATCCTAGCAGCATCCACAACAGTTTCTTGAGACTTGCCCTCTTTCAAAGCCTTCAGTTTCTCTCGATGGTAGGCATTAGACGTGGCTCTCTGCATGAAATTTGTCTTGTAAGTTGCTTGCTTCTTTCTGGCAACCTGGTTTTTCACAGATCTCACTGTAGCACAGAAGAAGCAGGTTTCTTCAGGCCCGATTTTTTCCTTTTCTTTTCTGTTTCTTCTCCATTTTGCTATTCTGATGCATCGAAACTGCAAGCTCCTTTTTTTCATCAGCACTCAAATCCAGCTCATCCAAGACCTCAATTTTCGAAGAACCCTTCCTTCCCATGGAAGAGCCACTGTTTTTCGTTCCCAAGGAACCTGTATTGCTTTTGTATCCAAGGAAGAACCACTGCTTTTCCTGCCCAGGGACTCTGTATTGCCTTTGCATTTCAAGGAGGAGCCACTGCCTTTCCTGTCCGAAGAAAAAAAGCACTGCAAGACACCTGCTTGGTGCTCTTGGCTGCAAAGCTTGGCGAAGCTGGGTCTGATGCCTCTCTGGACAGAACCCTTTTGAAAATTTTGGCGGGTGAAGGCAAGGTGCTATCCTCATCCTTTCTGGGTTCTTCCTGCTTTTGTTCTGTTTCAATTTCTCCAAGTTTTTCCTGCCCTTGGTTTTTTCATGTTTTTTCCAATTTGCACTGTATCATCCTCATGTAACTGCAAAAAGGACAGCACATTCTCTTTCACAGAAGTTTTCTTATTCATCTGAGGTATTTTTTTGGGTCTCTCTTCAACTCTCGATACTGCTGGCAAGCAATTCGAATTTTCTCATCCATCCCATCTGCAAAATCTGTATCATGGAGTTTGGTGAAGTTGATGCGAACCAGATTCTGCTAGCAAGGAAAGTAAAGTTTTTCTCATTTTGGTGCTTTGCAGTACACCATTTGTATGCAAAGAGAAAAGAGTGGAACATATATCCACCAACTCATCAGTGCCAAACCATTCTGGATCTGGACTTGTTTTCCAACTCACAGCATGGCCTGCTGTGCAAGAGCTTGTTCAAGTCACGACAGCGCTGCCTTTGCATCACTTCATTGATTTTCCTTTGAAGGTCATTGATTGAAATCGCAGGGTCAGGTCCAAGTCTGCTTTTGCCAGTCATGGCAGCAAAAAGGAAGGTAAATTGTAAAAGTTGTGTATGTTTGCCATTTCCTGTGTGTCAAACATGATTTGCCTGACCAATGTCCAAGTGTGACTACATTGAAATAGGCAGCCATGACATGTGCAAACTCTGCCATGTGGTGTCATGTCTTCCAACTTCCAAGTGCAAACATTTGCACACATTGCATTTTTTGGCAGCAAGTCTTGAAACCAACTTGGGCCAGTGTGACAACTTTCCATAAAAAGCTACCAATAATCCTATCTGCACAATTTTTTGACACAAAGTAATCCTACTTGGTACAAGTAATCCCACATGCAAAAATACAACAAAAATCTTGCGAAACAAACATTTTTTAGACAATTTTTTCAAACAAAAAAAATATCTTTAACAAAAAACTTTCAAATAATTAAATAACCTTAAGAAAAAAATATAACCTTAAGAAATGTTATTTTGCAACCTTAAAAAAGTATCAAATTAGGTCGGAAATAAGGAATATGTTTTAGGCAGAAAATAACCTAACCTGATCTATTGGGTAGCGATCGAACCTCATTTCGTGCGAAAGTGTTCCCCGGACAACTTGCAAATCGCAATTTTACACCAGTTTTTGGCGAGCGAACCTCATTTCGTGCGAAAGGGTTGCGACGGGAACTCGGAAATCGCAATTTTACGTCAGTTTTTGCCGATCGAACCTCATTTCGTGTTTCGTGCGAAAGGATTGCGCCCGGACCCGAAAAATCGCAATTTTACCCCAGTTTTTGCCGATCGAACCTCATTTCGTGTTTCGTGCGAAAGGATTGCGCCCGGACCCCAGTTTTTGCCGATCGAACATCATTTCGTGCGAAAAGGTTGCGTTTCGTGCCGTCTCGTTGGCACTACCCCGCGCCTTCAAGAGAGAAATAGAAAAGAAGGAGAGAGCAAGAGGGCAAGAGAGAATGTGAGGATGTGAAGATGAGAAGATGTGAAGATGTGAGGGTATGAAGATGTGAGGATGTGAAGATGAGAAGATGCGAAGATAAGAGGATGTGAGGATCAAAAGATGTGAAGATGTCAGTATGTGAAGATGAGAAGATGTGAAGATGAGAAGATGTGAACATGAAAAGATGTGAAAATGTGAGTATGTGAGGATGAAAAGATGTGTGCATGTGAGAATGTGAGGATGTGAAAATGTGAAAAGATGTGAAGATGAGAAGATGATGAGCAGATGTGAAGATGAGAAGATTTGAGGATGTGAGGATGTGAAGATGAGAAGATGTGAAGATGAACAGATGTGAAGATGAGAAGATGTCAAGATGAAAAAAATGTGAGGGTGTGAGGATGAGAAGATGTGAAGATGTGAGAATGTTTGACAGACCCCCACTATTAGAAGAACCATTCGCTCAGACGCTCTCGGGAAAAAATGCTGCATTTTTTTTTAAAGAGTCATGAAATGCATCACCCAAGTCACTTTATAGACTTGAATTTCTAGCAAACCATTTTGTAAACGATGCACATGAACCGGTCCAGTTTATACTGTTGGTGGTGCTGCCAGAAATGACGTAATCAAGTCACTTTATATCCTGGAAAATGTTAGATTGAAGGTGGCAACACCGCTTTAAATATCCCCGTTTGGATTTCCTCTACGTTTTGAGGGGGCTTGGGTTACGTATAAGGCTGACAAAAATAGCTGATTTATACAGAAAAATGGGGTTGGTTCCCCAGACATTGTAGACACATAGTGGTATGTAAAAATCATGTTGGATGCACTAGCTTTTTGTAGAGAGGTCATTTTGAAGCATTTTTTCCGTCATGTAAAAATGCAACCAGTTTTTTGTAGAGAGCTTCACTTAGCCGGGCAGGGTCTGCATACCACCTGAAAAAAAGTGCAGGTTGAAAGAGAACGCAGATAGCATGAAAGAGCTGAAAATTTGCTTGCACTGTTTCAATGAGAGAGCCAAAGCCAAAGGCCAGAAGTCACTGTAGTAGAGAAGTTCTGCTGTACATAATCAGGATTAATTAAGCGGATGGCGCCACTACAAGTAGCCGACACTAGGGTTAAAAAAGGACTTCCACATGAAAACTTTCTTTCTCTACAAAATGCTGAGAGTTCGGGGGGGCCCAACCTCCTGAGAGCACAGAATCCCCTACAAAAAGGATAGGGAAAAATCCAGCTGGATAATTGATGGTTCTTTTAAGTTAACCATGCGGGTTGAGCAACCTTTTTGTAGAGCTGATTTAACTCGGTTCTTGGCATGGTGCCTAGAGTTGGCACTAGTGTTTTGTAGTCCCAAGGTTTTTGCAGGTGAATGCTTCTTGTAGACACTGGTGGTTGGTCCCTAGTGATTTGTAACTACGCAGAGGGGGGTTTAACCCCTCCCCTCTAATTCTAACGAGGATCTTTAAATTACAAAGCGATGGAAGGGGCTGGAAGTGTATAAAATTGTGAAACCATGTGGGAAGCGGGCAGTTCTCAAACAAAACAAGTTAAGCGGGTATTTTGTTGAAACGACCAAAAATCACAAACGGGCAGAACATTCTGTTCGCGCGTGCGCCCGATGCATGCCACGTTCAAAAATGAAACAGCGACTCAAGTAGCACGTCTGCAGCACAGTCATTGCGTTGATGTTTTTGGATTTTTGCTGCTGCTTGTGGCTGGAGCTGGTCATGGCGATAGATCGGTGGCTGAACTGGGTGCGGCCGCTCCCCCGGCAGCGTTTGGCGGGGCTGTGCCTGGATTGGCCACTGGGCTCGCATGTCTCATTCACGGTACCCTCATGCTACAAACCGGTTTTCGTTCACATTCAAACCTAGGTGGGTGTGAAATTGAATCCGGTGTTTTCCTGGAGGAACATTTTTTCTGAAATTGATGGTAGGGAAATGCTTACGGGAAGTCGTGGATTTGGCGCTTAAGTTCACCAAAACAAATTTGCATTCCTCTCTTTATCGGATATTGATGTCGCAGGGAGCTGTTGTCTGCAAAATGTGGGTTTTCATGGGTTTTTTGTTTTTGTTTTCCCGTGATTATTGAGCAAGGTGCTGACGTGCTGGGCGGGCAAAATGGTGGCAGTTGTGGTGAAGTGCCTTGGACGAATTCATGGAATATGTTGCCAGGGCTGTCTTGTCAGTGACAAATCAAGTGGTTCCGACACCTTACGGCAACCCAGGCAAGAAGAACGCTGCCAAGTTGTGGTGTGCCGCTATGGCCAGGACATGCGATACCCGATGCGGTTTACAGAATGATTGGTAAACACATTGTTCCGAAGAATGCACGTTTCGGCCACATTGTTTGCTTGTTGGTTCCTCAAATTGCGATATGACAGCTGAAGTTGCAATGTCATTTGGATGCGGCCGGTTAGCGACATGTGGCAACTACAATCGGATAGATTGCCTGGCGCAGGACTTGTCCAGTGGGTCGAAGTTTGTGTTGAAGCCTGGGGCCCCACAGCAGATTGTGGTGAGCCAATTCGACCCATCATGTTTCGAATTACTTCTTGGCCGAAGGGTTCGCGTTTATTGATGTTGTTTTTTTTGCAAATGTTTTTTTTCTTCGCGTGTCATCATTTTCAATTCGTGAAAGGTTGGGGTGAAGGGTTTCCATATATGTGACCACCCAGTAATGACAACAAACGTCCACAAACCATCACATACGTTTTGGTATGATTGAAATTTATCAATGGCGACGGAATCTCAGCGGCATCGGGTCACAGGATGAACTTAATCATTCAACTTAATGCGGTATAGCTGCGTCATGCTGTCTCCACCTTCACATTTTGAAATTGTTGGTTTTAGAATGCCTTGGACACTGTTCATTTCAACTCAAATAATATTTTTTGTCATGTTTCACCACTTGCCAGGTAACTGTTTCAAAATTTTTAACACAAGTGCAACCCCAACCAAAGTGCAATTCCTTCCTCCCTCCCCCTCCTTCTCCTCCACCTCCTCCTTCTCCTTGCCTCGTCTGCCAGCTTTGGCGAGCTCTGGATGCAGCTGGGCACGCCTGGGCCCGAACACATGCCAGCGAGAATGCCAGACAGATTGCTGCAGATAGAATTCCAGATAGAATGTCAGAATATATGACGGATAGAACGCCGGGTAGAATGCCAGAATATATGTCAGATAGCATGCCAGATAGAATGTCAGCATAGGTGCCAGGCAAAATGGCAAAACACATGTCAGTTGGAATTCCTGCCAAAGATAATGTCAGAACATATGCCAGAAAGAATCCAGAACACATGCCGGATAGAACGCCAAATAGCATGTCAAAATATAACTCCGGTAGAATGCCAGGAAAAAATGCCAGACAGAATGTCAGAACATATTGGGCATAGAATGCCAGAAAGAATGTCACAATATATACCAGATAGAATGCCAGAAAAAACGACAGATAGAATGTCAGAATATATGCCAGGTGAAATGCCGGAAGAAAATGTCAGAATATATGTTGGATAGAACGCTAGAAACCATGCCAGATAAAATGCCAGAACATGAGTCAGACAGAATGCCAGAAATAATGTCAGACTATATATCAGAAAGAATGCCAACAAATGCAAAACAGAATGCCATAACTGGCCATAACATATGCCAAATAGAAAACCTGATAGAAAGTCAGGTGGAACGCCAGAAAGAATGCCAGATAGAATGCCAGAA